CTGTTTGAGAAGCTGAAACAAACATTCCATTGAACTGGAAGATCAGACTCCCCCACCCCTTAAATGCCTTTGAACCAACAAACCAAGAAAGGAATAAACATGGTACAAGGGATGACTGATCCAGATTACCATGGGGAAACTGGATTGCCACTTCACAATGTGGGTTAGCGGGATCTTGTCTACAGTGCAGGAGATCCCTTAAGGTGTCTCTTAGTGCTCCCATGTCCTGTGATTAAAGTCAATGGGAAATTACAACAACTTAATCCAGGGAGGATGACAAAGGGCACAGAGCGGAATGGATCCTTTTTCAGGAATGGAGCCAAGATGTGCTAAGGGTGAAGGAAATACAGAATGGGCAGTAAGGGAAGGTAGTTATAGACACTTGTTAAGTCCATGTGACCAGAAACAGAAGGGAAGATTATAGATGACATTAGCATTTCTATTTTATTTTCCTAAGAATATTTTTGTACAGATACTTGGTTTTTCTCTTCACTTCTTTTTTGTTAGATCAAAACATTCCTTTATTTTGTTATAAATAAACTTATTCTTCAAAGTAGCCCATTCTCGTTTCTGCCCTAGAATTTAGTACACAGTCCATGTTTAAGGTCTTGCAACATTTCTGGATGCTATGAAGTTTCCATCTTGTAGCCATGCTTCTCTAGCTCAGCGCGTAACTGATTGGAGAAGTCATCTTCTACACTGTCATCATCCCAGTTATCCTCCCAGACACGTGCATCTTCATCTTCATCTAAGCCGGCCCAGTCTTCCTTGGAAATTCCTTGAACTCGTCGCCCTCTTCCAGGAGACCCAAGTCGACCGGCTGCTTCATCTCCGGCATCGCGCTGCCCCCAGAACCACCACACTCGGATCCGCAGCGAAAGTTGGAAGCCTCAGGACTCAGGACAGACACCACTGCCGCTGACACTGGTGGCACCATAGAGAGTATCTCTCTTCACTTCTTTATCAAGTGATATAACATCAATTAAGAGAATTTAAATGGTGACCATATTTAAATATGAGATACCAAAGTCCTGTTCCACAAGAGACATTGACACCTATTCTAAATTTCAAATGTGTTTGGTGTTGTACAAGCACGAGTTATATCATGTTTCTAATGATATTTTGCTTGTGTTTTAACAAACAGAGGACAGAGAGTGGTGTCAAACACCTTTAAGCCCAGGATCGAGGAGAGAGATAGATCTTGTTAGTTCAGGGACACCCTGGGCTACACGAAATTGATCCAGTGCAAAAGAGAAGCAGAGCTCACACAAAGTCAATCACAGCACAGGGGTCACATGCCTTTAAATTTAGCACTAGGGAGGTAGAGGTAGGAGTGACACAGCTGGGCAGAGAGAGGAATGTGAGACAGGCAGACCCTGGAGATCAAAGCAGTCTGAGGAGCAGTGCAGGCTGGGTAGTCTGTCTGAGCAGTCAGTATGAGGTAGCAGTCAGTCAGAGGATGTAGCCTGAGGACAGAATCGCCCCTTTGGTCTGTGCATTGGTAGAGGTAAGAACTCTAGTGGCTGGCTGCTCTGCTTCGCTGAGCCTTCAGTTTTCATCCCCTAATAGCTGACTCTGAATTTTTAATTTTAATAACAATTATAACTGGTGCTACACGTGTTAGGTCTTATTATGATGTGGTTAAATACCTAATGCATTTGTGATTGTATTTGGGCAGTTATATAATGTTCAGGCGTTATTATGTTTATTGTTTTCATTTTGCAGTTAATCATGACATAAGGAGATACGGTTGTGTGTCCAGTTGACAAAGAGTGGATTTGTGGTGGCTATTCTTGGTTGTCTAATTTTCAACATCTGGATTGAACTACAATCCAAAAATGGAGGGTACAAATGAGAGATCATTTTTCTTTGATTTGAAGTGTGTGAATCCACTGCTACTCCAGACCTTAGAGGTAGGAGTACAAACGCCTTTAACCCATGTCTTGAGGTGGGAGGGTACACACCTTTGAAAATGACCACGAGGCTGGAAGACACCTTTAATCTGGGCCACTACTTATGCTGGTCTATATAAGGGCATAGAAGAATGAAGGTTTTGCTTCTAGTCTGCTTGCCCTAGCCTTTTTACCACATCCATCCCTTCACTGACATGGAGCCTCCTTCTTTGGGATCCCATCACACACTGAAGGCCAGCTGAGGAATCCAACCTTGTGGACCGAGCAACGAATAGATTGTAGGGCGTTCTGTTCACCCCTAGCCATTTTGGGAACAGCTGGACAGCAAGCTGTAAGTCATTCACATAAATCCCATATATGCATATGGGATTTATATATATGTATGTATATGTATATATATATAGTGTGTGTGTGTGTGTGTGTGTGTGTGTGCATATGAGTGTATGTGTTTTTTGTCTGTCTCAACTGCTGTCTGACTTTCAGCCTCTTTACTCTCCTAGTCCAGAATTCCAACAAATGTCTATTGTTTCATCTTTATTCATTTAGGTTTCAGACCCGCTGAGACTGACCAGAGGCATCTGTGAGACTCTGGATTTGGAGTTCTGTGTTGGGTCTTGGTGGGCTGAGCAGAGGACTGCAGCTGAAGTGATGATCCTCCTACAATCCATCCGTGGACAGCATTTGAGGGGTGAAGAGTGGACCCTGTGAGACCTTCCCTTTCCTAGACTGACTGTGGTCTCGTGTGAGGTCAATGCAGGTCAGTGCAGCTGCTGTTGGTTACTGATTACAGCAGCTGTGTGGAGTCTAGAGAATGGCAGGTCTCAGCCCTTCCTCCTCTTTCTGTACTTACTCCCTTAACTCCTCTTTCTCAACGTTCCCAGAGCCATGGAAGGGAAGGTGTCGCCAATGTTTTCAGGGCTGGAACCACATACCTTACTTATTTTCTGCATCTGGGGCAGCCAGGAATTTCTTTTTTTTTCTTTTTTGCCAAGTTTATATTCAGAATTTATTTGAATTAAAGAATCTGTTTTACAGGGAAGGTACTCT